GGGTAAAGGCAAGGGTAGATGAATAGAATTTCCTAGTTAGGCCGCCACTGCCCAGCAACAGCTCTGCATTTGAAAATGGCAGTCAAGAAACTTTACTAGATGTAGGTCTCTGACACAAAAGTAAAATTGTATATATATACACACACACACATATACATATATACACACACACATATACATATACACACACACAATTATATGTATATATACACATATGTATATGTGTATATCTATGTATATACATATTATATATATTATATAATTATATATAATATATATACACATACATATATGTATGTGTATATATGCTGTTTTAAAAATATAAATCTCAAACCTATAAAGACAATTATTAATAAAGAACATAATAGATCAAGATCCTTGTGAGAAGTACATATGGAATTTATTTTTGTTTTGTGTAAAATAATGCTTATAGACAATAAAGTCTCAAAAGACATTATTTTAAAGATGTGTCTTTGAGGAGAAGCCCAAGAGTTGCCAGCATAGAACTTTGGAATAAAAACTTGAAATAGGATTCATCTAACCAACGCTGCATTTTATAGGTGAGGCCATTGAAGCTCCAGAGAATTGATGTGACAAACCAAAAATTATAATGTTGGACAGTGAAAATATCTTTCAATTCCTTTATATCATCAGGGTGGTCACTTGAGGGATCAAAAGGTGAAAGGAACTAGATTATTAACATTTTGAATTTTAGTCTTCAGATTTAGAGATTATCACGAGAAACCATGAAAATGAGGGGGTGAGGTGGGAATCACAGAGTAAAGTGCTCTTGCAAGAAAACAAAATAAGTAGACCCACACTTCTGCCAAATGCATATAGTCAGACTCAGGCTGATCCATGGCTCAGGGGGTTGGTCCTTCATAGAGTATGCTTCAATGGCATAAGGCTACACCTTGAGGAAGTATCTTATTTCCAGAGGTCCAAGGCACAAACCTTAAATGAAACCTGCCTAAAGTTTTCTCTGTACCTTTGAAGGTTTCCAGGTCATTATTACCAATTCAAGAGAATTTTATAAGCCTCTCCAAAGAAAGAAATTGTTTCTTTTCTCAGGTCTTTGGCCTTTCAGTTGTACCACCTGATATGGCAGACTCTGAGAAGGAACAAGGATCTCTCCTAGGGGCCTGCCACCCCAAAAGCATGGAAAAAAGAAAAATCTCGAGTTCCTTCAGGGGAAATTCCAGCCACCAACCTAGCCCTGAGAAGTAAATGAGCAACCTGATAAGCAGGAATGCAGTAATAGCTTAAAACGATAGCCAAGGAAGCTAGAGCCAGTGTTTGGTTCTTTATAGAAATGAAAGATGAAATTTTCACATATGTCCCTGAGTTGTTTTTCAGAAACCTGGACCCCTCACCACATGGAAAGCCATCTGCTGGCACATCGATCTCAGATAAGGGGGAACTGAGGACTAAGCTCTGTCGTTCTTTGTTCTAAATTTCTTCCTGAGGGGACTGAAGGAAATTTTGCTCACAGGCCAGAGCTCAACTCTCCATTCTGCTGACCCAAAATTTTAGACAAAGCCAAACCCATAATAAATCAGAAAATATTTGAATCTACCTGCGATCTGTGGGCCATGCCACCCTCCCTTCTCACCTGCTTCAAGATGTCCCACCTTTTCAGGCCAAACCAATGTATAGCCTCCATGTATCGACTTATGGCTTTGCCTGTAACTTCTGCCTCCCTGCCTTTAAAAAGCCTTATAGTTAAGCCACTGGCTACTTCAGATCTTAAGCATGAGCTGCCTGATTCTCCTTGCCTGCTGACCTGCAATAAATGCCTCACTTTCTTATTGCAAATCCCCACGTCATTGTTTGGCCTTGCTGTGCCAGGCAGACCCAAGTTCAGTCCAGTAACAGCTCCTCTAGAATATGCCAAGAATTATAGCTATGTGAAATCAATAAAAACCGATTTCAAAGTTTCCAACAGAAATACTATTTTAATAATTAATTTGCCTCCATGAGGAGTAAAAATATTTCCAATGTATATTACATACTAGACTTTTACAAGGGGTGTTAATGTGACAATAATTTTATCCCATGTTGATTATGGACTCTTGCGAATCCTACAGATTTTGTATAGTTCAGGAAAGAAAATTATCTCATATTTATTTTCCTTCATAAATAGGTTTTTGTTTCCTAAATGTATTCTGGACACTTGTAACCTTTATGATATGAACTTGTAATAACTACTGAGTTACTTGCAATTGAAGGTAAAGATTAAATGTTTTAATTTTAGAAATGGTTTGGCAACTGTATGCCCAAAGCAGGGTAGAAAAGGGTGTTTTTTAGCTGGAATTCACACCAGAAGGCTACTCATTCTTCCATAAAGAGTGTATGGAAGACGCTTCCATTTTTAAGCCAAATAACACAAACTGGAAGGACATGAAATCAGAAAAAAAAATTACCCAACTTCTATATAACGCTTTCAGGATCCTCAGTAGGGAACTTGAAGCAGACTTTTAGCAAATCTTATTAAAGAAAACAAATACATTAGGAACATATTGTAAGAACCTGTACTTAAAGCAAAACTTGGGTAGTCACCTTATTATCTCAATTATTGAAATTCCTCTTATTTTCTTATTTTATTAGTGTCATCAGTTTTTGCCATTTGAAATTAACTTGTTTTTGTATTTGTTCACTGGTTTACTGCTACCAGTAAAATGTCAGCTCCAGGAAGACAAGGATCTTGACAGATTTGCTCACTAATATATCCCTTGTGCTTAGAAAAGTACGTGGAACATGGTCAAAGAACAATTAATATTTGTGAAATGAATGAATAAATCCCCAGAGCATGACATATGATGCATGAAAAAGGATGAGAATAATTCAGGCAACCCAAGAGAAACAGGAATCTGGACCACACCTGAATACAACTACTATCCTCTTAACTCATTATTCTCCTTCCTGAATCAAAGACTCATATTTTTAAAACAGATATGTTGTGAGGAATTTATGCCCCAAATGTGTATCGCTAACATGTAGATTAGTATTTGCTGTGTTATATATAAGTAAACTCAAACTGAAAGTAGAGGAATGAACATTCTTTCAATTATGTTATGATTTTTAAGCAATCACAATTCATTCTAAAGTTGGCTTCATGATGCCTTGAGTGTTGCTGTAGGTTTTGCTGTAGGTGGATACCTAGTCTTTGAAGACTAAAGTAGAAGTGGAAGGGCAGCAGAACCTGGCACCTCAAAAGATGCCACTTGTCATAAGGATTATTTTGAGCTAAAGGCAACTGAGAATAAGTAGATACAGGACAAAATATTTGCCCTCCCCCAACTCATCCTTCCCCTCTTTCTACCAAGTAGGACAGAGTTTGATCACTGAAGATGACTTAAGACCCTTATCATCCTGGAGATATCACCACAGGAATCTACACAATAAATTTTACAAAATAGCCTTTACCTACCATATATTTGCCTTTCTACAATTTATTGCCCGTATAAATCCAAGGTCCTTTTCCTTTGTCATTTCTTCAGAAACATGTTGTTCTTTGACAAAGATGCTATGTAAGCCAGAGTTCTAAGCCATTTCTTTGAGATTTACTCATTTTTCCCTGGGTATCTTCTATGTGTACATGTGGTATACATGTTAACAAATTTTTTTTTCTCTTGTTAATCTTTTGGGTTTTTTTTTTTTTTTTTTTTGAGATTAGGTAACACTCTGTTGTCCAGGCTACAGTACAGTAGCATAATCATAGTTCACTACAGCCTTAAACTCCTGGACTCAAGTGATCCTCCTGCCTTATGCTATCCAGTAGCTGGGAACATAGGCATGCGCCACCACACCTGGCAATTTTTTTTTTATTTTTTATAGACAAAATATCATTATGTTGCCCAGGCTGCTCTTGAACTCCTGGCCTCAAGCGATCCTCCCACCTAAGCATCTCAAAGTGCTGAGATTACAGATGTGAGCCACCACACTTGGCTGTCCTGTCTCTTATTATAAGGGATACTAGCTCAAAACTGAGAATTAGAAGAAAATTACTTTTTCCTTCCCTGCAAAGGGAATATAACTTAGTAATTAAGGTCACAGACTTCTAGTTCAAGTAGTTCTGAATTCAAATCTACCTACCATATTTATTGGTTATGTGTCTTTAATTTACATAACTTTTTTAAGTGTTAGTTTTTTTAATCAGGAAGTGAGGTAACACTGTTTCATAAAAATTTTAGTGCATTTAACATAATGTAAAAAGTGCTTACTTCAGTGAGCCTGACACACAATTAGGGATCAGTGAGATGTAGCCATTATCATTAAGCTCTCTGCCAAAATTGCCAAGACAAAAAACAAAAAGGCATTTTATATCATTAGCTTGAAAACGGAAAAACCATGAAACATGCTGCATAAAGTAGTACTAGAATGCAGTTTTAGTTTTTGATATTTAGATGTGATGTTTCAGAGTATTCATGGGAAGGGATCTGCATTTAATCTTTATAGAACACAAACTTGACTCTAACACTTCCTTGGCTCAGTATTGTAAAATTGTGGAAGGTCAGCTTCCTGAGTCACACTAATTTGGCTGCCACTTTCACCTACAAAATGAAGAATCCTTTACAAAAGTGCTCAGTATTTCTACTTTGTGTACACTTTTAAACCATAAAAAAAGTTGGTATGTTCCAAAAGGAACTGAAACAAGGTAAATATTAAATGTACTATGTCAAATAACAAGTTAAGATTAGTAAAATACCCAGAGCTCCTCTACTGCCAGGAATACTGGATCTCTGTGTCTTAAGTGACACCCCAGAGAGACATGTACCACGGCCGCAGTCTCTTGATCTTACTTCCCCATGGCTAGATAATGATACTATGCCTGAGTCTAATAGTCCAGTATTTAGGATACAATGAATTTGATGTCTGAGACAAGAATTTGATATTTAAGATATTGTAGACATGATTATTCTAACTTATGAATGGTGATATTTTATATAAACTCACTGCTTTAGATTCATATAGACTTTCTAAAACATACAGAAAGAACAGAAACAAATGCATACCTAATTTTACTTATTCATCAAGACAGATCTCTATTATTACAGGCACAGTTTAAAACAGAAAAGAAATAAGATGTAGAGCAAATATTGTCAAGATGAGGATATTTTGCCAATCAACTATTTTCCAGAAATCATCGTTTATTCTGAGGCTGTGCTTTTCATTCACAGTGAATCTAAATCTCTTCCTTTCATCTCTTGGGTGTCAGGATTCGTCACTCTTCCCATAAACAAAATTGATTCTAAGGAAAAAAAAAACAAATATACTTTAGGAATTTCGGGAGAAAACAACTGACAATAATTCATTTTTCTTAATATTTATCAGTCTTTCTTCTCTGTAAGATAAATACGCAGTGTCTAATAGTAAAGCCTTCTCCTTTGTCTCAAATTCATAATTATATCATTATTAATCATGTTCTGGCAATTTATGAAGTAAATCAACACCAACTACAGCTTATCATGGAAAATGTATTAATCCTGTTTTTTACAGAGGGAAGCAAAAATAAAGTGACAGAGAGGTGTGCTTCTAATATAGAGGCCCAGTCCAGTGAACATAGCATAATAAAATGGTGATGAGTGTGGTAGAGTTTTACATTTAAGGCATTAACAATCATCATTTTATGCATGTAATGTAAGTCTTCAGAGTTAAATGTGCAACTTTATAGTTCTCCTCCTTCAGCTCCGAATCAAAGCTTGCTTTACTGCCAAAGACAATATTTTTGTATCTCTATTACTTTCAAATCCTCACCAAACTGATATAGTATATGGCATAAGTGCAAATACCTGTTTTCAGCCATTCTGTGTTTGCAAGTGAAAAGGAACTAAGAACTAAAGTACAAAACAGAAAGAATAATGTACTAAAATCTATTCACCTTTCTTTTCAACTGGGTTAAGAGAAGTGGATTGAATGAATCAATGTCAAATGTTGCCTTAAGTTCCTTATGCTCAGATGTAATAAAGGTTAATTTCAAAGGTGATAAGTTTTGCATAATTTTAAAGCTAATGAAAATGATATTTAAACATAGTTGAAATAATTGTGGGACAGCCCTTGTTTATTAACTCTACTATTCAATCCAAAGACCACCCTTTGAAGAACCAATAACATGGAAATGGACATAAACTCCAGCAGATTTTACTTTTTATTATGAATAATTATAGTTAACAATGTTTTGTTTCAAAATATTAAAATAATCCTGGAACAAAGAAAATAGATAAAGATACATAAATACATTTCCCAGAATAGATATTAAATTTAGTCACAATAGGAATAAGCAGTGACTCCCATATCTTCATAATACTAATGCCATAATGCTATTACATTAAAATGCACATCAGGATAGTTTGTTTGGAAAAATGTTAAAGTAACTTCTATAAACACTAACTTATAGTTGAAGACAATATCTTAAAAATTTAAATACCTAGAAGTATAGAATATTACATAAAAGTCCAGCCTTTTCAATCTGTTTCTTTTTCCAGGAAGAATCACATTTTGAATTGAGTCTTCATGCCATCATCAATCTACTCACTACTAAATTGGGCAGATTAGTAAAATCTCCCTTGACATAATAGCAAAGAATTTAGAGGTAGACTGAAGCAAATATTTTTTTTTTATCTTCATGCCTTCTTCTTAAATAAGTGTCCTCCATCTTTAATTAATATATTTATACAACATCTTCATCAGATGAAAGCAAATTTTACTTTCTAATATTACAATACAATAGCACTACCAAGCTAATAGCTAGAAAAAAAATTCTTAATGAATATTTTTCAATCTGCTTCTGCCCTCAACACATGACCTGAAAGAGTTCTAAATGCAATAACTTTCATTATGTCTGGAATCCCATCAATTTCAAAATCATAATTCACTATTTTTTCAGGAATGGTAACTTTCATTAGTATCTTTCACAATTTTCTTCTCAAAACTTATAAAGTTGGCCTATATCCTCAACCTTAAAAAGGTGTTTTATTCTCCTTGCAGTTTAGCTTAGTAAGGGCTTTAGATGAATATACTGCAATATAAAATTCATCTGATAGGAAAATCCAAATAAGGTATACATTTTGAACAAAAGGACTGTTTGGCTAAAAGAAAATTTCCAGGCTATATAAAAATCGATTGTACTAAACCTAAAATAATTCATCCTCAAACTTCAGAAATCATCAACAGAACACATTTTATGTACACCATGAAGCCATTTAATAGTTCACTATGGTGCTGCTAAATCACTATCTTCATTAATCTCAATGATTTCTTGAGTTCATTTGTGAAAGAAAAATTGATAAATCACTAAATATATATTGTCTTAAGATAGCAGCTCTTTCTACATCTTATACAACAACAATGGATAGTCCCTGATAAATGAGTGGCCATTTATTTTAAACAATACTTTAAAGGAGTAGCCCTAGTTTAGAAAGTCTCATTACAATAGAGAACATAAAGCAGTTCAAACTGTCATTAAGATATGCTAGTTAAGCATTATCACAAATAAATAAATAAGTAGGTTATTTGGGGTTTTGAATTTTTACTGCTGTTTTACTAATAACTGTTATTTGGCCTTAGCATATGACAAGTCATCAACTTGGAAAATAGGGTCAAACATAATTATTCTAAATGCCATGATTTATTTGCGCATTGATGCTCAATGAAGCTTTTTTTCCCATGGTACATAATTATACATTAACTGTAACAAATTAGAATTATCCAAAAGTTAAACATATAGATCAAATGACATACTTAGAATCCATTTGAACACTAACACATCCATTACCACAATTGAAGTTGTATTAATGCACTCTCGTCAATTCTAAAGCTGTTTCATTGTTTTTAAGATATGACTTTCAGAAGGGTCACTCAGCATTAGTTTCATTGAGCCAAAAAAGGGCAATGTATACCTTACTGAGCCAATAATATTAGTATCCTAGTTAACCTAACGGATTCAGATTCTGCGATTAACTATGTCTCTTCTTCCTGTAAATGACTTTATACTTTTTCACTTTCCTTTCTTCTTTTATTCACTCACTCATTCATATTTATTAATTTATTCATAATGAACACTTAGTATGTGCCAGGCACAGTGTTACAGGTTTCAAAAAGTCTTCTATTTAACTCTATGAGATGAGTACTACTTTTTTTTTTTTTTTAGATGTAGTCCTGCTCTGTTGCCCAGCCTGGAGTGGGGTGGCCCGGTCTCTCACTGCAACCTCTGCCTCTGGGATTCAAGTGAATCTCCTGCCTCAGTCTCCCGAGTAGCTGGTAGCTGGGATTACAGGTGCATGCCACCATGCCCAGGTAATTTTTGTATTTTTAGTAGAGATGGGGCTTCACCATGTTAGCCAGGATAGTCTCCATCTCCTGACCTTGTGATCCACCTGCTTCGGCCTCCCAAAGTATTAGAATTACAGGCATGAGCCACCGCACCCAGCCCAAGTACTATTACTATTAAGTTCAAATAAGATATAGGGAAAGTGTGGCTTAGAAAGGACAAGCAACTTATTTCACAACTGATAGTAAATTCAGCTGGAACTTGAGCCCAACCAAATTTTATACCCTCAGTTTGCAGGGAAACTAATATTATGTGCAAGACATTTTGGCAAATATTGGGCTGAATACAGAGGTGAGTAAAATATAATTTCTACTACCCCATGGTAACTCTCACATGAGCAGTATGACTGCAGAGGGGTTCTAAACATAAACCTGACAATTTTCCCACTGTATTCACATTTCTGGTTTCTCTTATTCACAAGAGAAATTACTGCAGCAACTATCCAGACAATCTGGATTTCCCTGTGTTGACACTGTGCCCAATGCCAATCCAGTCTGCTACTTCTAAACTCACTTTTTTTTTACCAAACTCCATCATCTTTCACCAGCCGCCCAAATTGGAGATGTGAAATTACCTTAGACTCCTCCCTTCCCCTCAAAACCTACACTAGTCACTTATTGTTTTCACATCCATCTCTGAATTCTTTCACAAATCCACACCTCTCGATTTCCATCCCCAATGTGTCATCATAGACAGTTGACCTGCATTCCCACTTTGACACTTTCAAGTCATATAACCTGAGATAAACTATAGTCTTTCTCTGAGCTTTTGTGTCTTTATGTGTCAAATGTCTAATTTTTTGGAGTGGTTTTAGTTTTAGCAATAGCTATATAAAATGGCTACCACATATGTATAATAGCCATGAGGGCAGCCATTGTTACCACCACCCTATTTTAGGCCCCTGTCATCTCTTAAAATACAATACCTGGTAAGCAAAATGCACTTAACAAATACCCACTGAAAGAACACATGACTTCAGATATGTACATTCCCATTGGAAACTGGAACTAGTTCTGCTTAACATAATCGGTTCCCCCAAAGAATTCTCAGAAAAGGTACCTGTTGGGTTATGCTTCATAATGAACAGAAATGGATGATTTGCTGTAAATTGGTTTCGAGCCAGACTCATGATCACAGGGATGTGTATACCTATAAAATAGAGGCAACAGTTATTTAGATATTTGCATTAAAAAGATCAGTAATGTAAGTATTTTCATAATACATTTTGTAGTCAGAAAAAGTCATTTTGTGTAAGGAGTTAACGTGAAAAAATAACAATTTTGTAAATACAGAGGAATTTGCAATAAATTTAAAAACCAAAGTGCCGAAGAATAAATATTAGGTCACTCATAGAATAATTCTAACTTTTATATTTATGCTCAATGAGGAAGAAAGCCAGATACCAGATTCAATTTAGGGAAAGCAGTTGAAAAAAATTATTTTTTAAACAGTAATTTTCTGTTCACTTTTTATTTGTATTATATGATTTATTTCTATAATGTTCATAATTCCTAATTCCTATTTAGTTATGTTTGCACTTCATTTTTATACTTCAAGTTTGTGGTAATCACATCTGAGCTCAAATTAATTTTTTTTAACTTACTTTTTCAAAATTATTCTGTGAGCTTAGAGCTTTTAGGATTTGTGCAGTGAATATGTGTGAGATTTTTATTATGAGATTTGAAGCAGAAATTTGCTGCCTTAAAAATTACTTTCTGTGATAATTTATATTATGTTACTCCATTACAGCATTTGTCAATATTAGAATGGGAAAATATAAAAGGTTATTTTTTCTTTCTAGACTAAATGTTTTTATGCTCAATTCAGAGATTGCCTTTACCAATAATAAAATTATTTTGTACTGTTATTTTCAGACTCCAGGAAAAATAAGATCACAATGTATCATTAAAATTGAAAAACGGTCAAATATAATCTTTGTGTGATAACATGAATGGCACCCTCCTATCCAGAATATCAAGGCTATGCGACCCAAATAAGCAGTGCATATAGGCTCATGTCTGAGTTATTAAGAAAAATTTAAAAGCAAGGCTAGTTTTACTCCTATTCCCATTTACAGTGAATACTTGCATGTTTTTGCTTTTGAGCAATCCCGGAGTGGATTTCTGAACGTCAGAATACCCAGGCTCACTATTCTGTTGAGTTTCATTGTTGATTCATCTGCCTTCTCTTAATGATTGTTACAGAATCCTAGAAAATTTTAGACTTAAAATGAGCAGCAGAGAGCAACAGCAGAAAGAGCTCTGAACTTATAGTCAGGGAACAGGAGTTGTGTTCAAATTCTGCTGTCAATCAATAGTATGACCTCAGGTAAGCCACTTTCCATTGCTGTGCCTGACTGAGCACCAATATAATGAGATCAAACAAAGATCTATAAGGACTTTTTCAGTACTGTTTAAAAGCAGCTGGAAAATTTGTCTACATGATCCAGCAATTTCATCCAAATATAACCTTTTGACTTCTTCAATATTAATATAGCTCGTCCCCTACAATCCTAGTTCCTTGAGCACAGCAATGCAAAATCCTTCAGGAGATGACAAAACTGTAATGGAGTCCAGTGTGTTTCATCCAGATGTCAAAATCCATTGGCCCGATGCAGCATTGCAAATTAATCAAGAATTTAATAAATGAATATCAATTTCATATACTTATCAGTAAGACATTTTAAATGATAAATAGCTTTTAAATATTGATTAAAATCCAAATCATATGAGGGATTAAAATAGACTTAAGAGGAATTAATTAAAGTTGCTTGTCCATTTCTAATTAATTTTAAGGCTTTTTTCTAATTATTTTTGAAGCATTATTTCTATGCAGCATAGATGCTATTTAAAATGTCATTTGTTCAAGAAAGTATGGCCTAGAAGAGTGGTTCTCAAACTAGAATGTACAAATAAATGTCCTAGTGATCTTGCAAAATGTAGATTCTGATTCAATAGGTCTAGGTTTTGGACCTAAGATTTTGCATTTCTAACAAGTTCCCAAATGGTGCTGTTGTTGGTCTATGCACTACATCTGTAATAAAAAGGACAAGCTACAAGCCACTATGGAGCACTGGTTCTTGGCTGCACATTGGTATCGCTTAGGAAAACCTAAGAAAATATTGGACTCTGAATTTCACTTCCAAAAATACTGATTTAATTATTTTGGGTTGTGGACTGGGCATAGGCATTTTTAAAGCTTCCCAGGTAATTTTTATGTGCAGGGTAAGTTTCAGAGCCACTGCCATGGAGATAATAATAAGAATCAAATGACCAAAGTGGGGACAAAGTTGACATAGTGAAAGAATGAAATAAAATACAATTATGTAAGCGTGAGCATTCCTAAAAAATAATGATTTTATATTTGAACCCTAAAGTTTTCTCCACAGTTCCTATCTGGTAATTTGAAAGTAATCCAATTTGCAAGTGAGAAAATACCAGTAGATAGGCCTCAACTCTTAATCAAAACCTTTCCCTTCCTTTTTGTATCATGCTGTGACTGAAGAGAAATATGAACAGCTTCTACAACCATGTCCTTTTTTTCCTCCTGTAGTGTATTAGACAGTAGAAGAGAAAAAGGAGATTATTACTTCAAGAGGGCCAGCACCCTAATGTTTATCCTCTCCCCATCTTTCCTCCTAGCTTGGTCAAAAATCATTCATCCTACCAGTTGATGTTGCAGCTTCACTGCCATCCTCATTTATCTCAAAGAAAACTTTTTGCATGACTTGAGAAACATATACTTCAGATGAATCTGGTAAAAAATATGAAAGTGTATTTTAGAGTTAAAATCAAGAGCCATTACCTATTAGGTTCCAGATTAATTACATTTTCTTTTTCTTTCTTTCTTTTCTTTTTTTTTTTTTTTTTAAGTTGGAGTCTTGCTCTGTCGCGCAGGCTGGAGTGCAGTGGCACAATCTCGGCACACTGCAACCTCTGCCTCCCAAGTTCAAGAAATTCTCCCATCTCAGCTGGAATTACAGGCACCTACCACCACATCAACGTAATTATTATATTTTTAGTAGAGATGAGATTTCACCATGTTAACTAGGCTAGTCTTGAACTCCTGACCTCAGGTGATCCACCCGCCTTTGCCTCTTAAAGTTCTGGGATTACAGGTGTGAGCCACCATGTCTGGCATAAGTACATTTTCTAATGATCAAAGACAAAGAAACAAATAAATGCGTTCTTTCCCACTTAGTCAATTTGCTACAGATGAAGGTGGTTTAGGTTTAGCTCTTCCAGAGATGACATATATACAGAGATAGAGAGATCAAGTTTTTTTGTGACATAAAAGGTAAATGATGTAAGCCTCAAATCAAGTATCCAACTAAGTGAAATATTTGAAGGGACAGCTTTTCCTCCCTTAGCCATCTTCTATTGACAGAATGAAAGAGGCTTTCCAGATTTGAATTAATCCCACTCTGTATGTTTAATCTCAAAGCCAAAGTGCCTTTTATATTCCGTATTTAGTTTTGATCTGAGTTTAAAACAAAATGTACTTTCCTTCAAATCTGGGGAAGCTATGAAAGTCTAAGGAACTTCTGTGTCACCTGTTATAAAATCACTTCAGAGATATGCTTTAAAACCTGTTAAAATTTTCAGCATAAGATAGTGTCTTACAATGTTTTATTCTGGGGTGGGTACAAGCTGAGAGTAAATGATCTTTTTCTCCCCTTGGTGGAACTGATGTATATGTGAAGTGTTTCTGGTAGAGTGACTTGTAAGGATAGTCCCCTTGAGAAGGAGGAAGTGAAACCAGGAGCCCACAAGCCATGTCAAGCTGGCTTTGCAAGACAAGATAGAGCTGACAATGTTCCTCAGAGGAAAAGAAAGCACGCTCTAGAAAACTGCCTGGCTCCTAATTGGCTTGCAAAAGATATTTGTAATATGTAAGTCAATAATAAATAAGTCAATGCATCTGAATATGTCTAGTGATAGAAACCTGTAAAATAGAGAAAGATGGGTATCCACACTATTAGTGTGAATTAACTGAAATGCAAGGGAATATTTCTCTCAAGGTCAGGCAAATAAGCACCTTCTTCTCCCAGGATTGCCTGGAGTAACATCAATAAACACAGAGGGAGTGACCTGGTGGCCCATACCAAGAGCAACAACCAAAAGGCAGGTTAGGTAGAAGTGAAGAATTTCACCCAGTTTAGCACCTCACCAGCCCAAATGACTCCCTGGCTATTAGAGTAAACGCCTTAGTCTCCTTTGTCCCATCTCACTATAGATAAAACCCAGTCCTAGGAAAAGAACAGGACCTGAAATATAATAGGTTAGAAGTAACAATGTGGACTCTATAAACTCATTCATTATACCTTCGAAATAATTATTTGTCTTAAATTTTAAATGAAAATTCTAAGTACATTGTTATTAAATTAGGAGAACAAGAAAACAATACATTTGCTAGAAGATGTGCAAGTAAATATTAATGTGATACTCTTTCCACTTGCTTTATATTTAACTATGTGCCAAATGCTAAACTACACGATTTACATACATTCTTTTATTTATTTCCCCAGTCACTACATTATCTCATTTAACAGATTAGAATGATTAGACTCAGAAAGATTAATTATGTTACTACAGGGCTACACAAGGAGTAGTAACTCAGTGAGAAGTCAAATATTTTTCTCAAAGTTTCCAAAGTAACTCTATAAAAACATTTTATTCAAAATTTGTGAACCATATAATTATAATAGCTGGGCTGCTTCATAGTAGCCTTTAGTGAATGTCTATTGTACACATAATAAGTAGAGATAGCAGAGAATTTACCGTGCTCCTAGCTAACAGCTGAGGTATCAGCATTGGCTACGACTATTCTATTCTAGGAAATAAGACAGAACCAAAATGGTTAAAACAACTCAAATAGGTAACTCAAGAGGGAAAGAACAGAAAATGCTGGACTGCTCAGTGTTATTTTCTTGCATAAAATCTTTCACGAAACACTTTGGAAGTATTTTCTTTAAAAATCTGCCTGTAACAGGAGATTTTATAGAAGTCACAAATTGCTGGGAATTTGCAGAACAAGTGGCTGTTTGAAGTGTCTGAGGCATGTTGAGCGATCTCCTTATGACCGGAAAGAAGTTTCAGAAGAGGAAGTGTATGAAAAATGGTTTGTATTATTGAGGTGGTTGTGTCTCAGAGCACACTTACAGAGCATCCTGTTGCAGTATTTAATGTTGACCATCTCATATCTAGTGCTGATAAAATTGTCAGAGAAGTCAGATCTATCTGTCAGTGTGAGAACAAGTAGCTACACCATGTGTGCAGGTGATAACGAACATTTTGATATTTGTGACCTCATTCAACTCCTCCATCAGAAAGTTTTTCATTCTGTTCATTTGCCCACATAATTGTTGAGCAATGACTAAATTAACAACATATTTTCAAAGCCCAGATAGCTATATAGAAATATGTAAAACATTTCTGCAAGATTTCATGTTATGATTCAAAACTCCATCAGACAGACAAGTTTAGCCCCCTTCTTTTAGAACAGAAGATTGGATGTAAAAGAGGGTAAGTAACATGGGAAAAACTGGCCCTCTTTATCCATTCTTTTTAGCTAGTTATTTTTTAACTAGTGAGTACCACTGAGACTAGAAGAATTAAAAGACTGTCTTGACTTTGTTGTGCAAGTGAACGTGTTAGCCATGCAGGACTCCCCTGGTGTGAGTTAGCATAAGAGCACCATATTCTCAGATGTGTTATCAGCTCAACAGACTCTGTTGCTAAATCTGCAAGCTGTAGCGTTACAGTTTCTTGATTATGTTCATCATCCAGCAGCTTATGGATGACTATTTCATGTGTTCTCATATTAGTGAATTAATACTTGCAAATTGGTTTGTAAGAGCTATATTAGCTCCGCTTAGACGAGAGACTCAAAGTTGTAATTCCCGTTATTCAGATGAGGAAATCCAAACTGGGCAGAAATACAAACCCATATAATACTTTTACTTACATAATTTTATTAGAAATATAGCTAGAGTGCTTATCTAATATTCTAAAATGCTTTTTTGACTTTCATTAAGAAAAACTACTTAAACATAAAATAATGGGCTTGTTTACAGACAGCTCAGCATGACTATGACATTTATTCACTGTGCATATATTTACCAGAGCTGAATGCTCTTTCAGTTTCAAGCTTAGTTAATGCAGTCCTAACAAAAGAAATTAACATGACAATATAAGAAATACTTATCATACTACCTGTTATTCCAGAAAGGTCGCAGCCACCACTAAATATCTCAGTTATGTTCAAAGAATACAAAACATCTTTGAAGTCTACTTTTTGTTCTACTTTAAATCTGTTATTTAAAAAAGAAGAAGAAAAAGAAAAGTCTTAAAACTGCACATTTTTGCTACCAGTGTTTTTATAATGGATGACTTGGAGGACAATATATTATAAAATATTTTGTTTTTATTATCTCAATTACATTTTCTCACATTTCACAACATTTTCCCCAGCTCCAACAATCAATTCTGGGTTGCTAGTATCTTACTTCCCAGATAAATGGTTGGAAGAAAGAGGGAACAGAAATTGTATTTTTTTGAAGTAACAATTACCAAACAAAACTAGGTGAGAATTCTAAGTTCTATCTAAGGTCTCATTTGTGTGGCTCCTTTCTAACAAGACTCAAATTTCCCTGTTATGTATTGAAGATTTCACACCATCAAAGATGGTTCCTGGCAGATTTCCATGACATGATGAGCAGGGAACAGGAGTCCGCAGTCCTTGGAGAAGACTGTTAGCTATTAAGGAACAGAGAAGCATTTATAACCTATCGTTCATCTCGCGCATTGTCCCAGTTGATGGGACATTCTTCAGTTTATGGACAGGCCTAACATCTTCTGAATAGGCCCTGTAAAATGATAAAGGAATGGGAACCAGATTTCTTTCACAGGAAATAAAAAACAAAAAGTATAGGAACTAGCCAGTGCTTCCAACACAGAGCCATAAGTTAGGATGCTAGTGTCTGGGATGCTAAGTCTGTGCCTTAATTTGCCTCACCTATGAAAAAGGAATTTAACAAGATAATCCCAAAAGATTTTCTCATCCACTGATCTTCTGTGATTCCAAGTCAAAAGCAACCACTAAACCTCACTTTCTCATTTACATAAAAAGGTGGAAGGGGGGCGGGGTGGGGCGGGGGGAAGAAGCTAGTATTTACTGACTTCATAGAAGCTTAAAACATTAATTTGCATTTTAAAGCCAGATTGGAACTGTTTATGAAAGAAAAGACACCTGTAATAATCTTAAACAGGGAGTTACATATATTTCCTGCATCAGCAAAATTTCCAGCAATTCCCACTGAAGAGCTTCGTCTATGCCTTCTGGGCATTGGTCCCTGTGCTTCCCAGTTAGAATGTATACGCTACTGCTCAAGATCCTCATTCACTCAAAAGGTAGCCCCATATCTAGAGCTAGAAATTAGGTGGGGCGATTAGTCTAATTAAATCATTGTTTTAATGGGCAAATACTGAATGAGCTTCTTAATTATAATTCTCCAAAACAATGTGCGTGCTGTGGCAGAACTCTACTGGGACTAAAATATTTCTTAGTAAAATAATATGAACTTTTGGAAAATGATAACTCATTCAGAACCTGTTTACATGGGAATGGACACAACATACACATTAACATCTGCTGATAATGAAAATGGCTCATTCTATGCCAACTGTTTTCAACTTCTTCTTTGTAACTTCCTACTAAGAAAGATAATATGCAACATGATGGTTTGGAAGTTGGGCTCTTTTCCTGTTTTTATTACCACAGTCTTCAAATTGAAGGCAGTATGGGCTTTTACAGGGTGGAGAATATATGTTCTAATCTACCTACAAATGGCCATAATAGTTCAATAATTTTAGGATAATGACAAGAATACTGCAAGACTTATTACAACTTCTAATAATGCCTGATTATCATTGGAGGGTCATTTAAGTAACAGTCCTGCTCTAATATAGTCCAGTGAAACCTACAGCAATAGAAACACATTCAGCCATCTAATGAAAGTATAATCTACAGCCAATTCCTAATTATCCATAATTATTGGAGCCATGCATAGTCACATGTGAAGAAGCACTACCATGTGTTAGGTACTTAATATAAATTATAGTTTTTAATCTTCACAAAAATCTAAGGGAGTCAGCATTATTATTTCCATTAATGTATAAGAAAATAGAAGCCTGAGGAGGTTAATTTCCAGGCTCAGGGTCAAGATAGGTTCCAGAGCTATGATTTAAACTCAGGTCCAATTGAAGTCAAAGCTAATGTGCTGACTGCCACTACCATCTAATCAAAATGTAATTCAATACCACCATATTGGTCAATATATATAATGTCCCTCTTCCAAAGTTTATGAGTCCTCATATTTCTCCCAGATGTGGTTCATTTTCCCTTTTCCTGGATCCTCCTCTAAAATTGTCAAAAGAACAGCAGGCCATGGTAAAACAATGAGCAGCAAAATGCTAGATAGGCAATTAGCAACTAAATCATGAAATGTATTTTTAGCATATACACATAATATCTATTTGCTTAAAAGACTGTAGTAATTCACTCCCAAATGTAACCATTGGGCTGAACCCAATTTTACACAGGTAAAAGCTGCAGAAAAATGAGAAACAATCCTAATTTTTATTTTAAGAATGACCTACTTCTGGCCTCCAGGCCCTACTGGGGAATGTCCCTTCTTTTCCCCTTACCTCCAGAGTTCTTATCTAATGAAAAAAAGTCTTAGATCAATCTCCCTCTGGGTTTGTGTTATTATTATCTGAAATCCCAGCTTTGGTACAGTGGGCTTGAGTCATTCTTGGTGTATTAGGCTATCTTTACAGTACTATAAAGAAGTACTTGAGACTGGGGTAATTTATAAAGAAAAGAGGCTTAATTGGCTCACAGTTCCAACAGCTATACAGGGAGCATGCTATTGGCATTTGTTGCATTTGTTGGTTATTGGGGAGGTATCTGGAAACTAAGAATCATGGCTGAGGACAAAGAGGAACAGGAATGTCTTACATGGCTGGAGTAGGAGGAAGAGAGACAGGGGGCAGGGGCTACACACTTTTAATCAACCAGATCTCATGAAAACTCTAGCAGGAGAATAGCACTGAAGGGGGAAATTTGACCCCATGATGCAATCACCTTCCACCAGGCCCCATTTCCAACACTGGGGATTGCAATTTGACATGAGATTTGGGTGGGGACATAAATCCAAACCACATCACTTGTACTGGTCATAGCTGGAACCAACCAAACCAAGCCTTAGGGTGGCTCATGAGGAGATAAATGCAACACAGTCTTTGACAGTGGCAGACCTAGATGGTTATGAGAATACACAGTAAATTCTGGTCACTTTCCAATTACCTCATCGAGTGTGTGTGTGTGTGTGTGTGTGTAATAATTAAAATAATCTATTAACCTCACAGGCTGAATTTAAGACACTTTCTGCTACATATGAAATATATCTGCATAATGTTTAAAGTATACCTAGTATTCCCATTTTTATCCATATCCAATATGTCAAAGTAAATGAACATTTTGTAATCACTACTGCAGCTGGTCAAGACGTATCTATTCTCAGATCCAGTCTCATTTTCTTTGCCTTCCTCTCAGCCACACACAACTTACATTCACCCACTTATAGATCAAGACTGGCCAAGCCTAGAATTAATTTCCACCCAGCAAAAAGATGACCCTTTATGTCCTATGTTAAGGGTTATATCTTTTGAAAACTCTCCTTGGTACGGCTACGCCAGATCTCTCATCCTACTGCTCACCTGTCACTGATGGCTTGTTCTGTTCTGTGCTCCCCCTCATTCTTGCCCCAGAGTCACCTGTTTTCAGACTCCTGGCTGCAGTCTTCTCGTATTAGTCCGGCCATTAATTAGTTGTGTGACTACAGGCAAGGTATTTACCTGTTTCCATCTTATCTGCAACCTGAATATAAAACTAGATCTTTATCAAATTTATTGAGGGATTAAGTGAGACATGATGGGGGCATCTATTACAATGTTGGCATTATAATGTATGGCTACTAAGTGTTAGAATTAACAATACGAATAACATTTAGCTAACATTGAATACTAAAAATTGTATACACATCATCTCATGGAATCCCAACACTAAGAGGCATGTATTATTATTACTGTATTTAACAGTAGAAGAAAAATCTTAGAAAAGTAAAGTAATGTGCTTAAAGTTATATAGTAAGAAAGTGCAGAGCTCTGGGTCTTCAATATTATTTTCAGTAATCTGTTTTCAACAGTTGACAAAAGGTGCTGTGAGATGCCACATCAGCCAATATTTTTAAAGAATGACATCTCTCAGAAAGACTAGAAATCGCTATTATTAAGATAGTACTATACTTTTGAATAGAACTGTAGTGCTTAACAACTTTAAAGGCCCAGACTTCCAAAAATTCAGCGAGAACTATAAAACCTCTCCCAAGGAAAATACATAGATAACCTTACATGCATAAACTTGCAAATAATTTCAGGGCTTCAAGGACCCTTGGAAGTATATCCCAGACCTCTCTGTAAGTCCATGGTGCCCAGATAAGGAGTGCTACAAAAGAGCAAGAATTCACAGCCCTCTTGTTTTCTAGTAAGTTGAGCCCGAATCCCCCAAACAAACTATGTCTTCTTAACTCATATCTAGTTAGTCACATATTCCAACAACTTCACCAGTTCCTTACTATTCCCAGTGAAACTGCTCCCTTTAAACACTCTTTACTTAATGTCTGAGTTGTTGCAGTGGTTTCTTAACTGATCTTTTGGGCTTTAGTCCTTCCCTCTTCAACACATCATGGAAATCACCACTACTCAGTTTAAAGTAACAGTGTTTGTTGAAAAGTACTATCTTTTTATATACATGCTTTTTGCTGCAGTCACAGAGAGGAAACATGCACAGTTCTTCACTTCAAGTAGCTTATGGGTCAGAGGGGAAGATGAACAATTAACTTTAATGTAACTGCTACACAGAAATAAACACAAGGTACTAGGAGAACTTTTCCCAACGGGGAGAAGGGAAGATGCTTGTATAATCTTTCATGAAGAGATCAGAAAGGCTTTCTAAAACCCAGACTTAATTTTAAGGACCAATAGAAATTATACAGGAAAATAGGGATGGTTGGCAGGGATGGAAGCAGTAAATGAGGAAGAGGGAAATTTTTCAGACAAGTTATCCAGGGTGAACATAGTCATTGTGACTGCTACATATATCTTTCTAAAACACTGATTTAATCATCTTATTGTTTTACTTGGACATTTTCAGTAATTCTTCATTGCATATAGGATTTATTCCTCAATT